CGATTAGAAAATTCTCTAAAATGATGAACTTTAAAGTTAAGAAAGAGCTAGATTTTCTTGGTACTAAAATTTCCTTAAGGAGGTTAAAAAAATCAGATTTCAATTATCTGATTGACCAAGCGGCTTCAAAGTTGAATATGTGGGGAAACAAATTCATTTTTCTTGCAGGAAAGATTGTTTTTCTTAATGCCTCTTTCCTTTCGTTACTAGTTTTTGTTTCTACTTTATCTCTAATTCCTTTAAGTGTTTTGAAAGAGATAGAGAAGATGTGCAGAAACTTTCTTTGGAACAAAAGAGATGGGAGTTTTGGTATTCATTATGTGGCTTGGAACGTTTTGTGTAAGCCAAGGAACAAAGGAGGTAGAGGTGTACATTCACTTCTAGACAAAATTGGACCATTAAGAGCCAAATTGGCTCTTAATTTTATTTCTAATCCCTCTTCTCTTTTGAATAAATCTCTTTCGGCTAAATATGGTAACGATATTTGGAATTATAAAAATTTTTATTCCTCTTCTTCTTGGAGAATTATTTTAAAGGGAGCTAAGTATCTTTTCCCTCTTTTAAGATGGAAGATTTGCAATGGGTTAAAGGTGAATACTATGAATGATATTTGGCTTTTTGATAAAAGCCTAAATAGATGGCCTACCTTTACAACCAACATGGATCAAGATTGCTGTAAGCTATCAAATTTTATCACGAACAGTGCATGGAATGTTGATGAACTTAAGAAGCACTTTGGTTTACAGCTTATTGAACTAATCAGAAAAGTTCCTTTGGTTACAATATCAATCACTGGGACATAGCTCAAGTGGAAATTCTCTCTACTCTATCTTTTAGAAGATACGTCCAAGATTGGATGTTTGATGCTAAAGGTATTATGATTGAAGGTGATAATCATAATGTTATCTTATTATTTCAAAGGGCTCTCAACAATAAGTCTATTTCTGAAGAATTTCTAAATCCAAAGGATTTAGATTTTCTTAAAGACTTTAAACAAGTAGTCTTTTCTTTTATTAATAGAGATGTAATAAGTTAGCCGATAAGTGTGCTAACATTGCTATTAATTCAGATTTCTTTTGGAAAGATCTGAATAATAGTGAGATTCATTCTTCATTTATTAATGTTTTGAAGAAGGAATTTATTGGTACATAGTTTCTTCAATAAAATTTTGCTATAAGAATTTTCTCAAAAAAAAAAAAAAAAAAAAAACTAAGACTCGAGCCACCAAGGGTCGAGATAGGGAAGCAGTAGCTTGATCAGTTTGTAAGGATCAACCAAAAATTGAAGCTAATCCAAAGAGAATTTGCGAATTAAGAAAATGAAGCTGTAAATTCAGAAAAGAGATCCATACAGGAGAAATAGGAGATTCCTCCCTCACATCAAAATCTGGTGTCCATTTGAGTAACCTCATTTGACATGCTTGAATATAATACGATCTCCTAGAGAAGATGTGACTATAATCTAGGTCATTGGTCAGCTGAATAGCAATATGACGCGGATCCAATAAATTAAAATTTAAAGAGCCATAAAGTGTAAGACTAAGGAAAAACTTATGGATCATGTCAATATTAGGACATCAAAGAACAAATTTACCAAGCAACGTTAATGCAAAAGGCGTAGCATGCTGCAAAATAATTGAATCTTGAAACATTAGGGTAGGGAAACCCTTAAACGAATTATGCACAAACTGAACCCTAGTAGTACAGGAAGAATAACCCGCCAAAGCATCTTTAAAGGAACGTGTCTTATCAACTGGGATCAAAGCAGCAGCTAGGATGGACGACATCGGAGATGTCATCTCCCTGCACAAAAAAGCCAAAAGAAAACCTCAAAACCAAGCCATGAAAAAACCATAAGGAAAACCAGGAGAAGGAAAAACACGAAAAAATATAGGAGAACAACCAGGAGGAGGATCTGAGTCGCGTAGAGAAGGGAAACCCAGAATCGCCTTGAATTTCCAAGAAACCCAAAGTTAGAGAGCGCTGTAGGTTCAAAATTAGATTATATTAACAACACAAAGCCAACTTTTAGATCCGAGCTCAATCTTTCATATTTGAATCATCTTATATGATACTCTTGTCACTATAGTGATCTTCTTTCAAAGCCTTTAACAAATTTTACGTATTCTAAAATAAGTTTTAATATTTTCATCACTTGAATTAGAATATACTCACCAACCATCCCAACATTAGTAGTGCTCTTATGTTATAATAAGGAAAAGGAATAAAATGGATTTAATAGCTATAGTCGAGCAAGACATTAAAACCCAGGTAAAAACCTATGTATTAAATAATCAATATAATTTATGGAACTGATTGTTCTTTGCATTATTCTTCATTAAATGTACTAAACAATCAGCATAATATTTTCATCACTTTATGCATATTTTATACTCATCATACTATATGATTGTACCATATTATATGATTGTATCGTATTATATGATGTAAGTAAATATTGCTTAAGTTTTTACTATGATTATGGAATGAACTTAGATTAATTAATCTAATCAAATCCTATATGGCATAATTCCTATATGGGGTGATACTTTAATCATTGCAAATCCTACTGGATGATAATCCAAATTGTTTGAACTAATCGTTGGATAATGCTTTAAATCGAGTGTTCATTCACCGATGCACCCCTCTTAGTGTGCATAGGGACAAGTTTGTTAAGAGAGCTGCTAATTGCATATTTTACATTCTTGCAACTTGTATAGTTTTGATGATTCCAAATATTATTGTTTTAAGTTTTGTTATCTCCAAACACTTTTGAAAGATTTGTTTTTGCTCTTGTGTGGACTAACATTTTAGGAAATTCGAACTCCAGGCTAATGAAGACTTCAAATCAAATTTAGCATGAGATAGTTTATAAATTGAAGCTTGTATTTTTCTTTGAATTGAGTTTGAGAGGGAGTGATTATAATTGTGTAAATAAACACACACACACACACTTAAGGAGATATTTAAAAATTATATTGATCGTACGGGACAAACACAATTCGTACGGGACGATCAAGTTAGTTATCTCCTCGAAAGAGCAAAAGAATGAACAAGAAGTGAAGAAAATTTTTCAAAGTCCTGATCGTCCAGGATGAATTTCCTATTCGTCCCAATACGAAATGAGCTCTGAAAAATTTTCATCCAGACAAAATTCATATTCATGCCAGGATGAAATGCTCTCTGAAAAATTTCATTCAGACAAACTCCAATTCTTTCTAAGTCGAAATGTCCTCTGGAAAATTTTTGTTCAGACAAAATCCATATTCGTGCCAGGATGAAATGTCCTATGTAAAAATTTTATCTAGACAAACTCATATTCGTCCCAGGACGAAGTGCACCGACTCTTAAAAATTTGGAAACTTCCTATAATTTTCAGAACCGAGCTATGGTATAACCATTCGTACTGAACGAACCTTGTTCGTGTGGGATAATTAACGTGTACGAAGTCAGTTCGTACCAATATACATTGGGTTCTTTTCCAACTAAATTATGTAACATCATATGGGATGATCTATGATCGTACGGGACGATCCACTGATGATAGACTTGAATTTTAGCGGTTTTTGGACGGTTTTTTGTCTTTCCTATGTAAAGTCTAATATAAACTGTTACTTAATCTTTTTGCCTACTGAAAGGAAAGTCAAGGAGAGAGTGTGAGAGAGTGTTTGAAGGAGGATTCTTACTACTGGAGCATGAAGGTTTCACTTGGTACTCAAAGTGAAGAGTCTCAACTTGTGGTTTTTGATTACTTCACTTTTTTCTCTCTTCCTTCTAGATTTCTTATGAAGAAGATCTGTCAAGGAGATCCGGTTCTCTGTCGACACTTGGAGAGTGTGAACAGACAAAGGGTTCTCTTCCCACACTAGGAGAGTGTGAAAGGATGAAGGGTTCTCTGTCCACACTAGTAGAGTGTGAAAGGATGAATGGTTCTCTACCAACACTGAGAAGAGTGTAAAAGGATAACGGTTCTCTGCCGCACCGGGTAGTGGTGGAAGAGAGTTTTGTAAAGGCTTGTT